TACCAAATAGTTTCCCTAGTGTAAGAAATGATAAGAATACATAAAAGTATGTGGTAATCATGATTCCCAGTCATATTGGTTTGAATCCGTATGATGTTATCACTCATTAGGTGCAATGGTTTTAACCTGCGTTGTTCGATTTTAGTATCAGTGATAGTACGAATAGCTATTCTGAAGAAAACAACACATCATAAAAGCTAGTGCTGATTTAATATCATCTTGTTTTGAAGTCCCATCAAGCTGTTGTATACCTGTTTCCACTGGTTTTAACATGTTGTATCTTACTATATTTGACTATATGCGATAATATAAACAAAAAATTTTATAGGCAAAGAGATAATATAGAAACCAATGTTTTTTTTCTGTTAACTGGTTCTAAATACCCTGTAATTTCTTCATTCTCTTGAATAGCTTCAGACTGACTTGATATGCTTGATGCTATAGTATATGAAGTTATACTCAAATAATTCAAGGAAGGAGGCACTATGGTGACTACTATTATGTTAGATTATCTGGGGGTGATACACAATGATGCTTAAATTGTTCGGTTCTGACCTGTGTTGTTCTAATACAATGTCCTCTTTTACCTCAATCCCACCCTTTTTTAAAATTAATCTATTTTTTTCTTACTTTTTTTCAATTAATGGAAAACTAAATTTAAAAATAGTGGGATATATTATAGTAACTTTTTTGTTTTCCTATTAACCTGATATGATCCCCAGTATTGCTCTCCCCATCTTGTTCTGTCAGATTTTACTATATTCTATTTTGTTTGATAGTATCAAGTTTGAGGGTATAGGCCACCACTTTGAAGGCAATAAGATTCACTAAGATGCCCATTATGGTTTGACTATTATCTTCTTTTGAAATCCTGTAAGGTCTCCAGTGTAGGTTTTATTGGTCTTGTTCTGTACTGTTTTGGTCAATTCTATTATACCTGATGATATAGGCAACTTTTTAAAAAAATAGCAAGAGGCACAATGGTAACCATTTTAGATCACCTGATATTCTATTTTTACATCATGTACTATGCCCATCCTTTTGTTCTAACTGACTCTGTTTTGTTTAGTCACATTAGGTTTTATTCTCTCCAAAAAATAATAAGAATTGTGGAGTAAAAAAACCCAAAAAGTGTAATTGTTATTAAAAAGAGAGGAAAGGAAGGTGGTCTAAGGGATATAACTGCATATATGTTTGAGTGTGTAGGATGGAAATCCATATTACTGAACTTTTGTTGGATCATTGATCAGCACTGTCTGCAATCTCATTGTATGAATGTTCACTTTACATGCTTTAATTTTATAATTTGGACAACTATTTCAAAGATGACAATATGTAACCTATTAACTAGTGATATCTTACTGTATTTTTTCCTTGAAATTCTGTATTATTTGTACCCTTTTACTGTTTTGTTTTTTTAATTTTATTTTCTTTTTTTCTCTTTAAATTATAAATAAATAAATAAATAAATAAATAAATAAATAAATTTGAGTCAATACCAGAAAAAAATTGTGCTGCTATAAACATGTATGCACATGTATCGCTGTGATATAATGTTTTCAGTTTCTAGGAATATGCCCAGAAGTGGAGTCACTCATTCAAATGATACTTCCAATCCCAGATTTTTGAGGAAATGCCAGGCTGACCTCCACAATGGTCGCACCAGTGTACACTCCCACCAACAGTGCAGGAGAATTCCTTTTTCCCCCAGCCTCTCCAGCATTTGTTGTGATAGTTTTCTTTATTCTAGCCATCCTTTCTGGAGTGAGATAGAATCTCAGTGTTTTAATTTGCATTTCTCTATTGACCAATGAGGCTGAGCATTTATTCATGTATTCATTTGTTATTTGTGTTTCTTTATCTGAGAACTGTATATTCATCTCAGATGCCCATTTTTGGATTGGGTCTTTGAATTTTGGGGGCCCGATTTTTTAAAATTCTTTATATGTTCTAAACAGAAGTCTTTTCTGTGAGGGACAGTTGGTTAAGATTTTTTCCCCAATTCTTGGGTTTTATTTTCACTCTGTTGGAGATTTCTTTTGACATCCAAAAACTTTTTAATATGATGAGATCCCAGTTGTCAATTCTGAGAAGTATTTCCCCTGCAGTTTGGTTTTTCTTCACAAATACTTTCCCCTATATCTTCAAGATATCTACCTACTTTGTCTTCCAACAGATTTAGTGTTTCTGTTTTAATATTTAGGTCTTGATCCATTTTTGAGTGCATGGTGAGAGGAATGGTTCTAGTTTAAGTTTTCAGCATAGGGAGAGTCAGTGATTCCAGCACCACTTATTAAACAGGCATTCTTCCAAAGTGTCATTAAAATGGTTGGCCCCTTTGTCAAAAATGAGGTGGCTGAGTGTGTGTATGGTTGTGAATGTATCTTCTAATCTATTTAGGTCTGTTTTTATTTGAGCATCATGCTGATTTTATCACAGTATCTATGTAGTATATTTTCAAGTCAGGGGTTGTGATGCTTCATGCCTTGCCTTTTTTTTGCCCCAAATTGCCTTTGCTATTCTAGGACTCCTGGTTCCAGATGAATTTTAAGAATGGTTTCTCTAGATCTGTGAGGCATATTTATGGTATTTTGATTGGAATTGCATTAAATTTGTACAACAATTTTGCAAAAATGGCCATTTTCAAATGTTTGTTTTTCCTATCCATGAACAAGGAATGTCTTTCCATTTTCTGAGATCCCCTTAGATTACTTTATTCAGAGTTTTGTAATTCCCACTGAATAGATCCTTTATTTCCTTTGCTAGATTGATTTCTAAGGATTTTATTTTTGAAGATACTATTGTGAAGATTGTGATTTCTCTTATTTCTGTCTCTCAGTGAGTTTGATGTTTTCATATAAAAATGCTATTGATTTTTGAGTGTTGATTTTGTACCAGCCATAATATTGAATTTTGTTTTTACATCTAGAAGTCTTTCAATGAGGTTTTAGAGTGTTCTATGTAGAGTATCATGTCATCTGCAACTAATGATAATTTAGCTCATTCCTTTCCTGTTCTGATTGATTTTATTTATCTCTCTTGTCTAATTGCTCTGGCTAATATTTCCAGCACTATATTGAATAGGAGTGGTGATAATGGACATCTTTGTCTTGTTCCTGATTTCAGAGTGAAAGCTCTCAGTTTTTGACCATTTAATATGATGTTGACAGTTGGTTTGTCATAGATGACTTTTATCAGATTGATGTAAAGACCATCTAGTCCAATTTTCCTTAGGGTTGTTGAATGAGTGTTGGATTTTACCAAAAGCTTTATCTACATCTGTTCAAATGATCATGTGATTCTTACCAGTGACTCTACAGAAATAGTGCATTATGCTTATTGATTTGCATATGCGGAACCATCCTTGAATTCTTGGAATGAATCCCACTCAATCATAGTGTGTAATCTTCTTGATAACTTGCTGTGTTCTGTTTGCTAATATTTTACTGAGCATTTTTGCATTGATGTTCCCTAGGAAGATTCTCTTTTTTAGTTGTGTCTTTCTTTGGTTTTGGTAATAGAGTAGTATTTGCTTCCAGAAATTAGTTAAGCAGAATTGCTTCCTTCTCAATTTCATTGAAGAGTTTTAGTATTGTTGGCATTAACTCTTCCTTGAATTTCTTGTAGAATTCTGCAGTGAATCCATCTAGGGTTTTCTTTGTTGGTAAAGTTCTAATTAAATTTTCAATTTCATTAATTGAAATGGGGTTATTCAGCAGTTTTACATCTTCTTTTTTTTTTTTTTTTTTTCTTTTTCTTTTTTATCGGTACCGGGGATCGAACTCATGACTGCCTGCTTGCAAGGCAGGCGTTTATGCCGCTGAGCTAAATCCCCAGCCCCAGTTTTACATCTTCTTGATCAAGCTTTGGTAATTCATATGTATTTAGATGTAGTGCACTGTCCAGTGTTTAGCTTATGGCATATGGACTCCAAATCTTCCCAGCTGCTTGGATTCACTGGGCAGGATCCTACCAGGTTCTAAGCAAGGTGCCAAGGTTGCATGGTTAGGTGGAGTTCGCTGTGCAGTTCTTCTGAATTCTTTCTTTAATAATTGAATGATGAGTTCCTTTCAGAAATATTTGATTGACAGATGCAAGTGTCAGCATATTGATTTGCTCTTATTTTTTTTCAAAATTTTTATCTTTTCTCACTGTATTCACGTGAAGAATAGAAGACTCAAGTAACCATATTTGGACTTGACCTTTCTTCTCTTAGTCTTAGTTTTTGTAGGCAGTATGATAGATGCTACCTGCTGAACTCGACAGAATTGGGACCCACAATCATAAAGTAGTAGGAATTGGTGGTTTAATCATTTAGTCAGTAGAAAATAGAGCATCTTTGGGTTTGGATATATTTTGTTTTATGGTAAGAAAGCATGGCAAAAGGCACGGTAATACAGAACCATTCTCACTACCCCGTTGTGGTTTTCCATTTATTTTCTTTCTTTGTTTTCTTTTTTTAATAATCACATTATCATCTTACTGCCTTAATATTCCCTGGCTGAAGAACAAACAAAAAGTGTCAGATGCCTGAGATATGACACTTTGAGTTTCGTGATTTCCTAAAATAAAACAAATACTTTGCTTTCTATGTGCATATATTTCTATTTAAGGATTCCCATTTTTGAGAAAGCCTTTGGGTTCTTTCACTTCCCTCAGAATGGAAGATAAAAACCTGCAAGTATTCAAAAGTAGGATGAAGACATCTACCACACTGTAGAAGTTTTTGGCATGAAGACAACCTATGGGTTATCATAAATTCATCCAATGTGTTTGGATGGACATGTTGCATTCATACATTCTTTCATTCAATATGCATCTGATTCAAATCCAAGTTCTATCTTACTCATCTGTGTGTTCCTACAACTGACTATGAAGAAACTATCTTAAAACTATCCTTTTGTCTTTTGATGATAACCATTGGTTTTCTGTAACATCAGAGACTGAAAAATCTAAGTATGTATGCTATCATAAATTGTACATGATCCATATCTTCTCAGATGCTGGAGCCCCCACCTACATGTATGAGTTCCAGTACTGTCCAACTTTCATATCAGACATGAGACCCAAGACAGTGAAAGGAGACCACGGGGATGAGATTTTCTCAGTGTTTGGGAGTCCACTTGTGAAAGGTAATGGCTCTTTCATGGCTATGAATTTGGAGTTAAGAGATCCAACAATTTTTGTGTGATGAACTTGAGCATGTTTTTCCTTATCTGCTTCTCTTAGATTACTGATTCTGTTACACAGGGATAAGCTACATTAGACATACATAACCTATTGCTCTCACATGCATGAAAGAAGACGTGTGCTGATATGCCACAGCTGTAGGTACCCTCACTGTCCAGATGTATGATATAAGTGAGACAGGAATTTGATCTTCTGCAGATAAGAGAAGACAAACACAGCCAGAATATGGATGGCCTTCAGGTCCATGGCTGATTCCTGTTATTCATGATTCTCAAGTTGAAAGTGCATATAAACTAGAATTCTCTTAAAATACAAACTTTTGAACCTATTGATCAGTAATGAAAGTCAAGACTCTGAATTTCTAACCTCTTATCTGTGCACCAACCAATCCCAATTTGTATATTAAAGGGTTCTTTGTTTGTTTTACTTCTTCTGCACAGAGGGTGCTTCCGAGGAGGAGATCAACCTCAGCAAGATGGTGATGAAATTCTGGGCCAACTTTGCTCGGACTGGGTGAGGCTGGTAGCAAAAATGGAAAAGAATTGGTGGTGGTGTGAGGTTGGGCATAGCTGCTGGGATAGGGTGTGTTCTACAACTGGAGTCTTCAAACACTAGACTCTGAGACCAATGCACTGTGACAGAGAGACTTTTCTGGAAAGGCATAAGGTGCTCTAGTAGATAAGGTAGTGTCTAGCTCTGAAGATACATAGGTCTCTTGAATAGATAAGCCACTAGAAAGTTGAAAGTCTCAGAAATAAAGAATGACCATGGAGTTTATTGAAGAATTTCTCTTTGATTCTGTTCCCAGGAACCCCAATGGGGAAGGTCTGCCTCACTGGCCAGAGTATGACCAAAAGGAAGGATACCTGCAGATTGGTGTCACCACCCAGGCTGCCCAGAAACTGAAGGGCAAAGAAATGGCTTTCTATACTGAGGTTCTAGCCAAGAAGACTGTGGGGAATCCACACCAGCAAGAACACATAGAGCTCTGAAACGACTATGCAGCCAGTTTCAGGGTCCTGAGACAGTTAACATGGGTGTATCTATAGGAGCGTTTGTAAGCTAAGCTTGCATAAGTTTGTAGTGGCTGAAGCATGGTTTGTTTTATGATGGGAGGAGTCCGGGAATGGGGAATGTTTGTGCAATGACTTTAATTTGAAGATAAGTGTTAATTTTGACAATAAAATCAATGTCTGTGTTGAAATGTAGATGAATCAGTCATCTTCCTATACAGCAAGTTGATGAGAGACATCATCCAAAGTAGTAGACACCTTTACCGAGGTGACTCAGTGAATGGTCACCCTAAAATCCAAAGGAAGATGAGCCAGTGGAGGAGAGAAAAGATGTGAGCACTATTCAGCACTCCTACAGGCACTTGATGTCACCATTCTTGTGACAGTTCTTATTAAAAGTTTATGAATTTGACAAATGCTGAGTATAGACTAGGAAAACAAAATATTGGGCACCACAGGGTCAAATGGAAATTTACACCCATCACTCTTCACCATGGTCATATGTTAGGTGAACATTAGTGTTTGGGGGCAGGATTGGAGCAAGCCTGCCTGTAATGGTCTGGTATAGAATTCTACTCAGATCATTTTCTACTAAGCAACAAAATCCTAAAATACACACAGAAGTAGTAGCAAAAGCTGTTTTTCTAGGGTCCCTGGTAGAAAACTACTGAGGAAAAAAAAAGGGAAAATGTAAATCTCTATCCCTTGTGGTTTGATATAGATTTCTAGATCAAGATCCTTAGAAATCTTTCACTCCTAGGCAAGGGTAAGTTGGTGGATACAGTCAGCTCATAAACAGTGGGACAGGGGATGTTCTCTTTGAGGTCAGATCAACACTAGAGAAAGCATTCCTCAGTAGAAACAAACTCATATCAAGTAACATAAAATTACTGATGTAATGTTAGAGCCTTAGATAGTCCATTTATGAAAAATACTGTAAACTTGGAATGGAAGATAGTAATTTAAAGTACAGTGTTACAAGACTTTTTTTATTTAAAGAGAAAAAAGAAAGGACATAAAAAAAACAAAGCAGTAAAAGGGTACAAGTAATACAGAATTTCAAGGAAAAAATATACAGTAAGAAATCACTAGTTAATAGGTTACATATTGTCTTCTTAGAAACAGCTGTCCAAATTATAAAATTAAAGCATATAAAGTGGACATTCATACAGTGATATTGGAGACAGTTCCGTTCAATGATCCAACAAAAGCTCAGTAATATGGTTTTCCATCCTACACACTCAAACATACCTGTGGTTATATCCCTTAGTCCACCTTCCTTTCCTCTCTTTTTTACAATAGCAATTACACTTTTTGGGTTTTATTATTCCCACAGTTCTTATTACTTATGTTACAAGATTTTTAAAAATTCACTTAATTAATATTGCATTGCTTGAATATGCAACATGATTATTTGCAGTCAGGTATTGTATACCAAGAATAATCACTAAAGATTTTTCAAAGAGATCTGCATAATAAGCAAATAGGTAAATGAATACTGAATCTAAAATCTTTATCATAAATACAAGGAAATAGGAAAAAACAAAGGAAGAAAAATTACAAAAATTGTTAAACCTATTAATGAAAAGATAGTCTGATTGAGTTTTAAAGACAAGTCCCAACAATGTGCTGCATCATAGTTGGATACTTGTATTTATTTTATAGTTGTCTGATGAAAACTTTTAACCTCAGATCTCCTAGGACCTCTCCTGACCATTGTCTAGAGAAATTGATTAGAAAGCCTGAATGCTTCTCCCACTGGTGCTGGGGGAAGATGAAAACCTCACCAATCTTGCCGTGGTCCCTTCCTCAAACACAGCAGCACCCCAGTTAGTCTTTCCTTGCTCTCAGAAGCCATTTAGATCTGTATTGAGACAGCTCTAACCCCCACACTAAAGATTTTAAAAATTGTGTGAAATGAAACTTTTTATTTTTTCTGGTGAGGAAGTAGTATCACTTGTCTTGATTTGTAAAGCAAACTTTGGGTGAAAATTCAATAGAAGCCAATATGATGAATGTGTATTAAAAAAGATACAACCACAGACAAAAAAAACTCCTTTGAGACCCATATTAATATTAAACCAATGAATGTTGAAAAATTCTTTGGAGGGATTGTTGAAAATTACAGTGATCAGGTCACTCTAGTACAATGGAAGTAAAATCTTCTTGGATCTTGAAAGAGATAAACACATCTATTTTTTTCTTTATTCATTTTCAAACTTTCTGATGCACACACTGAGTCTGAACCACGTGCGATGTATGTATTTCCAATTTGCTGAAACTGATTATAAAAAAAGTCTGGTTTATGATTCTTTATGCTTATAAACATAAATCAATGAGAAACTTTGAATATCACTATTTTTACTTTTCACTATTATTTATAGCATTCAAATTTGTGGAAGATAAAATGAGTCAAATGCCAGACAGTGTTGGATTATTTTTCTTATTTTCTGAGAATTAATCTTCCTCTCTCTCCCTCTCCCTGTCTCTACACCCCATCTCTGTGTTGATTTTCCTTTCTACCTTCACTGCTTCACACTTTCACATATTCCCTCTTCTCTCTCACTCTTTCTTTCATTTCCTCCTTTCTTTTTTCTTTCTTTCCCTCTCTCTCTTTTCTCTTTCTTTTTTGCTTTCTTTCTTTCTTGCTTGCTTTCTTTACTGCTTTCTTTCTTTCTTTCTTTCTTTCTTTCTTTCTTTCTTCTAGTCTTTCACCTGAATTGCAAGCTGAAACCCTTTTATTTTTATCCTAGGACAAGTTCTCTTTAAGTTACTAAGTAATCAAAGAAAGACTCAGTGTTGCAGTCTCCCTGAGTGACCAAATCTAACTGTGCAAATCCACTTTCTTTAAAAGCCACATCACTTCTCACTCTTAGCAATCAGAATGTATATCATGTCTCAGTTATGTCTGGATTTCCATCATTGTAAAAATATAAAATATCTAGTCATCTTCTATTTATAAAATAATTCACTTAAATATTAAAATTACTCATCATTTCCCTCAAACAATTTTAGGTTCAGTTTATTAAACTGCAATAAAACAAAACATTAGGGGCAAACCACATCAAATATACAGTCCGTTGTGTTTTTCATAAAGTACCTCAGAAAGCAGCAGTGTAATAGGGAAAATAGGCTTCTTTCTATTTGGAGCTTCCTGGGCTGCTGCTGATGGGATACTGCAGAAGTTGAGTGGAATACAAACAGTTTCAATTAGAAACCAGTATCATATATAGTTCTCTGTCCATTTGGAAAAGGCAAAATGACCTGAATATTGAAAGTACATGACCTAGAAAGATTGAAATCTCCGTACTTCTTCCTTTTCTGATCTTTGCACTTTCTGGGTAAGTTCCTAAAGAGCTTCAGATAAGGGATAAAAGAATCCCTCCTCCCAGGCCTACCTGTTTGTCTCTTTATTGAGGGCCATTGGTACCTGAGACCTTTCCCCAAGTTCTGAGTCCCAGTGCTCCTTCCTCCTTGTTCTGTCTCCTTGCCCTCATCTGACCTGGGGCAAGAGAGGATCCAGGCTCAGGCTTTGCCCTTGGGGTATTGACCCTTCTAGTGCTGCTCCAGATGACTCATGCTCAGATGAACCTCCTTTTCCTCCCCTGGTATCTACCCTGTTCAGTCACAGTTCTTATTGTCTGTTAACATTTACATTGAGAATGCACCTCATTCTTTTGCTGGGAAGGGAAAGGCAGGGAGAGGAAAACCTACACAATGGACTTGCCATTCAACTGTGTCAGAATACAAAGAGTGGATGGTTCACTTCTGAAGAGTTTCATATTTCATGGATGTGTTAGAATTCAATGCTAGACTGAGGACTGAGTAAGAGGAGAAAAGAATTAGTGTGGAGAACCCATGGCCTTGAATGTGCAGGATGATGAGGGCCCTTCCCAGAAGGGTTATGTTGATGATGTTGCTATAGCATACCTTGGGGGATTGGGGAGCTGATCTTTTTACCTTGATCTGTTTGAAACATTACAAGAAATGAGATCATAGTAGCCCATATTCTATGGGAACAAACCACATCTGTCTTCCCTTGTGAGTTCCCTGATGTCCACCCAAATCCAGCATCATAACAGGCAATATGAGCATTTCTCCCCTGGAAGCTATAACAAAATTTCTGTTGGGAACTTCATAAAGAAGTGAGCTCTGAAGTTTCAAGAATATGGTGCTAGCTTCTGCTTACTCATGTGAGGACTTCATTGCATTTCAGTGATGAAAGCATGGTTGGAAAAAAATAGATGGTGAAACAGGCAACTAGAGACCTGGCAAAGTCCAGGCTCAAATCCATTTTATAAGAACCACTCTTACTAGAAGTAGCCTGGTCTTGCTATACCTACAGTAATCTCTATTGAGGATGGTGGGGAAGTAGTGTCACAGATGACTAACCCTGAGTACATCACAACAGAACAGATCATCATTTCCAACACCTTGATATTAAACCATGCTGAACAGGCATCTAGAACACAGAACTTTGAAAACCACACTCAAACCACATTCAAACCAAATCATAGTTACAATGGTATGTTAAAGATTTAGTTGACTATTCATTTAGCTATCTGTATGCCAGTGTAAGATTGATGATGTGTCAATCATTTATCTACACTGTGTTTTTAATAAAATTGTACTTGAAGCTCTAACATTTGCCTCATAGAATTTTATTATATATATGAGTTGTAATTTATTCATTGAATATTTCAGATAAATGTAATTTGGATTTCTGTTAATACATCCAACCAAGTCCTTATTAAAAAAACTAGTACATTATACAATTTGTATTCTTTCGTAATATTTAGGATACATAGTACATTTAATTGCATCAATATTATCTCCTTCATTTGATCATAGTCTTAATGTTGGGTACAAATATTTAAGTTTTAAATTGCGTATAATGAACATACAGAAATTTATAATTGTAATTATATAAAATCAGAACATTATTAACTTATGCCTTTATTAACTTATAAAAACTGATTCTTGACTCTTGGTCAAGAAGCCAAGTATTATCAGCCTCCAGGATACTGTCCTCAGATCAATGCCATGCCCTGCTCTCTACTCCCTGTGACCATCTACTCAAAATGACATAACTATTAACCTGGATCTTAATTTTTCTACCTTGTGTTTTATATTAATTGAATACATACACTTGTCCCTGACTTCTTTTCAACATCATGTTTGTGAGAT